GGGGGGCTTCGTGTCGTTGATCTCCTGCCCGCATTCTCCACCAGTGTAGCGGGCGCTTGGGGAAAAAGGAGAATAAAACACGTAAGTGGTTAAACCCAGAGGGTGTGTTTTATTTGTTGTGCAATAGTGAGGGCTGTAGGAGTATCGGTGCTCTTGTGCTCCTGTGGTGAGAGTGCTGGAGAAAGTGGATTGAAGACAGCAAACTTTAGCCAGACAGCAGAGAGTTGGCTTGTATGGCAGAGAGTTTGTCAAGGCTTCCAGGTTCCTTCTCATTAGTCACTTTCTGTAAGAAACAAAGGGATAAACAGACGTTAGTGAGTGTCTGGGAGATCACACAACCCACTTGGCCTTTCTTCACTGGTGTTTATATAGCCCCAATGATGAATTGGTCGATGGCCGTCAGGTGTGTGTGTTGATTGATGGCCAGCTGCTGTGTATGTGTTGCCAGCGGCGACTGACGTCGGGATGAAGAGAGATAGCTGTCAGGTGTGTGTGTTGATTGCTGGCCAGCTGCTCTGTGTGTGTTGCCAGCGGCGACTGATGTCGGGATGACAGTAGTCCGCCACACTAGTATTCAAAATCCTTCTGGATTGAGCTCTTCAGTGACCTGAGAGAGAGAGGCACCTTTTCAATGGCAGCCATGAGCATAAGTGCCTTCTACGTATGTCTTGTTGAGCATCTTGCAGAAGGACTTTGAGTGCAGAGAACTTTGGAATAACCACACCATCCGACCTGTTCGTCAGTCTCGATGTCATTCTGGTAAACCAGAAGCAATGTATCATTAAGATAAATGAATGCACACACAATATCCCATGCATTAGATAAATGTTGTGATTGTATTTTACTAACCACATACAAATGCCATTTGATTTGAATCTGTGGAATTCGGGATTGAATGATTGTGCCGCGATTTGTAAAAACACAGACATATTTGCGAATAAACATCTGTTCTGCATTAATAAATCAAAAATGGCTCATGCAAAAATTAATCCGTGCATTTGTGGATCAGAAGACACACGTGCATTTATTGACATCTTGTTCGAATCGATCGTGTTTGGTTAATTTGGATTTTGAGACTTTTCGCAGTTTACAGGATTCTACCCACACATACACACACACTAACGAACAAGCCAGTGCTATTCATTAACGTGAACACGATTCGTAAATGTGTGTCACTATACAATGAAACAAATGCTTTTCAACCGGTGTCTGTAGAATTAAGAATTAGCAGCAATTTGTACAAATAAAGTCATGTTTGTGAGTATAAATGTTCTACTTTGTATTAAAATGTGACAAATCCGTGTGCGAAAAGGAATCTCTGGATCAGGCGACACGCGTGCATTTATTTTGATACCTTGTTCTAGTCGATCCTGAATTTGGATTTTGAGACTTGCTTTCCGCATTTTTTAGCATTGATGATCCACACACAACTGAAAGGCAAGGCAGGCAGCACCACTAGATAGCAGTCGCAGAATTACCAAGCTGGCAGTCTTCAAATTTATCTAGTTAAAAAAATAATTTTTAGCAGTATTATGTACTGAATTATCTTTCGTCTTTTCCGATAACTTTATTTACACGGTAAATATGCGTAGTCACGCGGGTCTGCCAGAGTCAACCAGGCTTTAAAGAGGTAGAGAATTATAACATATAATGGTTTGTTCATATTTTGTACATTTTTTGACAAAAAAAGTTTTATATTAGGCCTATATTATATGTAATACTACTCATTCTTTGAACTCAGTGCCACTTGTGAATGCCACTTCTTAATTTTGAATGCTGTTATTTACTTGCATTTTCTTAGACAGTTTCCAAATATGTTCTAAAATTGACGCAAAGAGAGGCAAAGGTCGGATTACCGGGACAGTGCCTATCAAGTGCTCAGACCTCACAGCCTGTGTTCTACCTTCACCGACACCTAACCCCGAAGCCTACAGTAGAATTGGAACTGGCTCATGCAGGGTTAGGGAAAAAAGTGGTGACAATAGCAGAGGACTGCAAACATACAGATGTAAGTGCTTATATGTCTGATGGTTTGGTATATTTGAGTGCTTTTTGTATGCAAAAAGCTATGTAATGTTGCAATTTTTTCTATTACCTGGCAGGGGCGGACTGGCCATCTGTGTGATCTGGAGAATCACAGAACGGCCGGTACTCCAGGACGGCCGGCGGGCCGGCCCACCAGCCGCCACACACATCCCAAGTCTCCCGCATATTGATAGCGGCTCCCTGATGTCCGCAAATTAGTTAAAATCTCCCGGAATCTAGAGCGAGCAAGAGCGCGCATGCGTAGCGCGTGCACGGCAGAGAGAGAGGGAGCGAGAGATTGCGTGTTTGCTAGTGTGCGCGTGTGTGCTAGTGTGCGCGTGTCCCTCACGAAGGGCATGTAAGGACCCAACCAATCAATTGTCAGTGCGGGCGGGCTTTTATCTCTACTACTCCCGAACCGAATTAATCAGAAATTACTTTGCAAGTTACTTGCTAGGGATGATGTTAGGAAGTGATATTCAGCTTGCTACATTTTTAATGATTACAGTAGTTAAAACAGCTAAACTTCAACATTTTAGCTGTAAAATGCCACATGCAGTTGCTAATATTAAGAAATATGTTGTGCTTTTACTTTTAAAAATGTTGGTAATGTTACTGTTAATGCTTACAAACTTTAAAGATTTTGAATACAGAAGTTATATTTGTAATGGTGTATTTTCATTTAGATGTGGTATTATTATTTGTGCAGTAGCTAAGATTAATTACTGCATAAACTAATTAAGATTATTAAGTAATAAATTCATTTTAAGACAGCATGGAATAGATTGTATAATATGCTGTTAGCTATAATTTGGATGGTATATCATGAGCCACAGTTAAAGTGACACTCATGGCAGGCGTTATTGTTGTTGTTGTAGAGTTTCCGCGCACCGATTGCTTTGGGCCGGGCCGGCCTAGTCAAAGTCCAGGGCCGTTTTTTAGTCCCAGTCCGTCCCTGTTACCTGGTGTACATTTGAAATCTTATGTTTGACTTTTCATGAATTGTCCATTTATAGATAGTTACAATTATGGAGGAAGAGTTCCCCAAACTTCAACCACTACAAGGACGGTGGATGTTTTACAAAGCAACCGGTAAATATGGGGATTTCGAGCTGGTTTGAAGAGCTCAGTTAACTAAAGATTATCTGTCAATTAGGATCCATTCATTACATACATACAAATTCTGTTGCAGGAGGAAGTGGCCAGAGAAGAATGACTCTTATCTCCATGGATAAGGTTACTCTGGTTACAGAGGGTTACTCTGGTCGGCAAATGTGGCAAAAATGTCCTCTTTTTGGTTTCAGGAGGAGATGGACACTCAGCCTCTTCCCTACAATTCAGCAGAATTGGCAAAGATGCCAAAGGTGCCCTGTGTCACCTGCAACACCACCGTGCCACTGCAAATGTTGGCTTTGCATGCCGAGGAGTGCAAACTAAATTCCAATGTGAGTTGTGTACACATCTGCACAGGGCTTGACAGTAACACCCGCCAACCCGCCAAATGCGGGTGCATTTCACCCGTGGCGGGTAACACAGTCACTCTCACTAGCCACTTTGGCGTGTTGAAGATTTGTAGTCTTGTCAAAGGACATCTGACATAACAAACGAATTGCAATTTGACACTATGCCACTACCACTCCCATGAGTACCACCTGCACATAGTTTAGTGTTTGCTCATTGGTCCATTCGTGAATCCTCTTGAACGACAACACTGCAAACAAGAAGACACGCGGAGATTAAACTCGCGGACTGTGCGACGAACTGGGCTGTTTTAGTCTGCCCTTAATTATTAACTTAATGTGGTGATATAGCGATCTTTTTTTAATAGCAGGAGAATCCAGACCACCGGCGTGTCTCACGCTCTCCTGCAGTGCCGCTGCGCGAGGGTGCGCGCGCCAAACAAACGATCATCACACGCGACTGGTCGCATACACACACACATCAACACAGCGTTCAGTCAGTTCGTGAGTGTGCATGGCCGGTATTAAAGCAAAAATCATCTTCATGATTAAGGGCCACGGTGTAGGCCTAACTACTAGCAGGGCTGCCCTTATGTCACGTCATATCACAACTATCTTTCCAGAGTTAATTCTATGTTTTAATAAAATTAATCATGCCATGAAAGAAAGCAGGAGATGCGCTTGTGGGAATAATCTGGAAAATAAAGACCTGTAGGCCTATACTTGTTTCAGGTGGACATATCTCCAGTTACTCAGAGCTTCATGATGATAATTATTAAGTCAGAGCTCTGAGGAAAAGCTGATGCAAAACAAACAATCCAAAGTCCTATATAGTCCTATATAGCCTATATAAAGTTGTAATCCTGGTGCTTTAATTGTGGATTTTTTCTTTAAAATTATTATTTATTCTTTGCTCGTTGTTTCTAATGCAGATAATTGTTCTACTCTGTATTGCAGTATTTACTGCTGTAAAACAAAAAACAAACAAACAATGCAGCACTTTTATTATATACAATAAGAAGCTATTTTATGTGTGTATCTTAGACAACATGTTATCAAAAAAGGAGCTTAACAACCTTATCAGAGCTAATGATAATATTAGTTCATTTTAGCACGTTTTCAGCCCCATTGTCAATTTTAATCATATAAAACGTACAACAACAAAACTGTGGCTAGTAAAAATGCTGCGTGGCTAGTCATTTTGGAAAACCACTAGCCACATTGGCTAGTGAGCAAAAAAGTTAATGTCAAGCGCTGCATCTGCACCAATTGTGACTTTTTGTATAGCCGTATTGGCACAGCAGCAAAATACAGTTTTTTATCTACGTTACACACAAAATTTGTTTTTTATTTAAGTAAATGTCTTTGATCCACAATGACTGAATGTGTACATGTCGTAAAACATGTTCACACCAATGACAATAACTTTAACTAATGTAACTGAGGTTAATATCATTTTTAAATGACAGGAGAAGATTGATCTAGTCATTGTGGAGGATACAGATTGTAATGACAACTTAGAGGAGCAGGTCACAAACATTGCTGCAGGTGCCAGAGATGTTTCTGAAGACAGCCTTGCGGTAATGCTTATTTCTCAAATTGTATTGCATTTAAAACAAGACTTACTTTCCTGCTAACTTTTACTTTTTGTATACATTTTCTTGTCATTACAGATGTGCCCTATATGCCAAAAGGAGTTGCCATTGTCTGTATTACCTTATCATGGCAGTTTATGTGCTGAGAGGTAAACGTTGTGTTTTTAAAATGAACTTTGATATATATGCTTAGCACTAAAATCTTATTATAAGTATTTATGCAGTCAAGCCTGTGGTTTCATAGACAAGGCTTAAGCTGGTCCCAGACTTAAAGACAGCTGTTTTAACTGAAAGCATATCTTAAAATATGTCAGTGCCATATTTTATATATGTCAAGTAATGTCAAGTAATGTTTTTTTTTTCTAAGGCATTTTATAAAAGCCACTTTAATGTCCTATTTGAACTAAGGCCTAATCCTGGCTTTAATAAACACTGGCTGTCTGTGAAATATGGTCAATATGTATACTATGTTAGGCTATACTTGACATTACAAACAATAAAATAAGGCATGAATTCATGCTGCTATTAAACCCATAGTACTAAATGATTGTGAGATGGACTAGGATTGTGCATAGCACAACAACATAAACATTAAACTGTTTATAACTGCATCAGTGTTATTTGTAAGGTAAATGTCTTATATTTTCTATTGGTCTAAGATCATTCAGTACAAGGGTTTTTGAAGATGACGTGGAGCAGCCAGGGCCATCATCTGCAGCTCATTCATCCCGTATTTCAGGACCAGCAACAGAACGTGAATTATACAATTGTGAATGTCAACAGTCACGGTTATACATTTGTGAAGTAATTAATAATTACATTTTATTGAATGGTATTTTATGATGTACATGGTATTTCGGCTATATACAATGCAAAATAAAATTTGCAGCCGCGAGGGACTAAACACTGAGAGACTTAAAACACTGCGACGCGCAGAAACTCAGTTCCGCTCAAAGATCTAAGTTCAATCATTTATTATACTTCAACACGTAAAGGTACAACTCGTACTGCAGTCACAAAGTCATAAAAGTGCTGTGTGAGTGCGAAAGTCAGTCAACAGAAAGTGTTCGCTCCCAGGCTCACTACCTCTCTCTGTCAAAGCCCCATTGAACTGCTTGAAGAGCGGCAGTTTTGTCTCGCTAACAAATCCCATGAAAGCATTAAAAATATCCTCACCTCTGGTGTGTCCTTTTAATGGCAAAATTGTGAGTAGCTCTTCCTTGGCGCTCATGTCTCCAAAAACCATCCTGATGAAAACACACAATTCTGCCACATCCACCATATCAGTCGACTCGTCAAATTGGAGGGAAAAGCACTCACACGCGTCAATATCCTTCTTCATTTGCTCCTCTACATCCACAGCCATTCTCTCAAATCACCTTGTTGTAGTATTGCGGGAGAGTTGCACTTCTTTAATGGCCTTCACTATTTTTTAAGTCGTCAAAAAGGCTATCCGCTGCCTCGTGAAAGGCTTCCTTCACCATATCGCCGTCATTGAATGGCTTTTTGTATTTAGCAAGGACGTGACTGACACGATAGGAAGCAATAGTTGCGGCCTTACTCTGGGTCTTTGGTTTGGTGAAGATTGATTGCCGCGCTGCAAGCTGTGCTTTCAAATCCCGCACTTTTGTGGCACGTAAAGGTGTTTTTGCAGGGAAATCCCTCTCGTAGCTCCCGTGTACAGTTTTAAAATGCCGCTCCAGATTTCCTTTTTTTGCCAACGCCACCGTTGCATTGCATATCAAACAAACAGGCTTTGAATGAGAATAAACAAAAAAATAATCTTCCTCCCATTCAGGGTGAAAATGGTAAGTCTTGGCTCGTTTCCCCTCAGCCATGTTAACGTTTAGGAACGTGTAACCGCTGTTCGCTAGCTTCTAGTTACTGTTGACAACTGTCAAACTCCTGTCATGCATGTCACGTGCGACCTAAAAACGTGCGGTTAAACGTGACCTATTTTTTTCTTTTACTCTTTTTTAAATACTTTTTTGTGAACGTGTTGGCAAGGACTCATGATATAGGCTGTAGTGTACATTTAATAAAAAATATAACACACACATAAAAAAAACAACGTATTTTTTACTTTTTTTTCTACACTCCTCGTGGTCGACTTGGGATCAGTCCGCGATCGACTGGTTGGGCACTGATGGTGTAGAGAAAGTGAAACAGCGCTGCGTTACCTCAAGTTTAATTCGTTTAATAAACTGACCAGTGCGAGTAGTAATAAAGCACTTGCGTGTAGTTCGGTAGAATGAAATGTCCTTATTCCTTTATATCCGCGGGACTCGCATTGCGTGAGGCGCTGATATCTGTCATTAGCAATCGCGCCCTGCTTCATACCACAATCATGTTAAAAACATCAAAGTATTCACTCATCCATAAAAGATCCATCAGCTTGATGACAAGATCCATAATTCTGCTTGATGCTTTGCGTCATCGATATACACCTTTGTTATTGTAAGAGGTTAGCGACCCCTGGTGGCGACAAATCCTACATATTGTACCTTTTAGTTAATACATTAACTAATGTTAACAAATGAAACCTTATTGTAAAGTGTTGCCGTAAAATATAAAAAAATTCTAGTTTTGAAAAAAAAAAAAATATTTACAAGCTTGTTGTTATGGACTGTAATTTTCTAATTGCAATGCATTCTTGTCAGGTAATGCAGCAGAGGCCACTCTGTTTGAGGGGGAAATAGACCACATTTGCATCTGCATCAGCTGTACTTGTTGAGAGTGAACTTTCTGTGATGGCTGGAAGAACGATCGGCCACTCGTTAATCAATCAAGGTCCTGCTTTGCCAGACCTAAGCCTGGCAATAGCACATTCTTTGACAGGGGACACAGCCACCAGAAATCTCTGTTTAGAGGACTGCTAAGACATTGAACAAAGGGAGACAATTCGCCTAGTGAGTACAGAAAATTAACCAGGTCTTTCAACAGTGTTTTGTGGTTTCTGATGAGATGCTGACGTAAAAAATAGCTGCTAATTCTGTGTGCTTAATAATGCTTGTATCTCATAGCTGCTGAAAGATGAATGGACCAGGGAAGTGCAGAGAGTTCTTCAGGGGCAGGGGCTCAAATGTAAAAAGGGGCATATACACTCACCTAAAGGATTATTAGGAACACCTGTTCAATTTCTCATTAATGCAATTATCTAATCAACCAATCACATGGCAGTTGCTTCAATGCATTTAGGGGTGTGGTCCTGGTCAAGACAATCTCCTGAACTCCAAACTGAATGTCAGAATGGGAAAGAAAGGTGATTTAAGCAATTTTGAGCGTGGCATGGTTGTTGGTGCCAGACGGGCCGGTCTGAGTATTTCACAATCTGCTCAGTTACTGGGATTTTCACGCGCAACCATTTCTAGGGTTTACAAAGAATGGTGTGAAAAGGGAAAAACATCCAGTATGCGGCAGTCCAGTGGGCGAAAGTGCCTTGTTGATGCTAGAGGTCAGAGGATAATGGGCCGACTGATTCAAGCTGATAGAAGAGCAACTTTGACTGAAATAACCACACGTTACAACCGAGGTATGCAGCAAAGCATTTGTGAAGCCACAACACACACAACCTTGAGGCGGATGGGCTACAACAGCAGAAGACCCCATCGGGTACTACTCATCTCCACTACAAATAGGAAAAAGAGGCTACAATTTGCAAGAGCTCACCAAAATTGGACAGTTGAAGACTGGAAAAATGTTGCCTGGTCTGATGAGTCTCGACTTCTGTTGAGACATTCAGATGGTAGAGTCAGAATTTGGCGTAAACAGAATGAGAACATGGATCCATCATGCCTTGTTACCACTGTGCAGGCTGGTGGTGGTGGTGTAATGGTGTGGGGGATGTTTTCTTGGCACACTTTAGGCCCCTTAGTGCCAATTGGGCATCGTTTAAATGCCACGGCCTACCTGAGCATTGTTTCTAACCATGTCCATCCCTTTATGGCCACCATGTACCCATCCTCTGATGGCTACTTCCAGCAGGATAATGCACCATGTCACAAAGCTCGAATCATTTCAAATTGGTTTCTTGAACATGACAATGAGTTCACTGTACTAAAATGGCCCCCACAGTCACCAGATCTCAAACCAATAGATCATCTTTGGGATGTGGTGGAATGGGAGCTTCGTGCCCTGGATGTGCATCCCACAAATCTCCATCAACTGCAAGATGCTATCCTATCAATATGGGCCAACATTTCTAAAGAATGCTTTCAGCACCTTGTTGAATCAATGCCACGTAGAATTAAGGCAGTTCTGAAGGCGAAAGGGGGTCAAACACAGTATTAGTATGGTGTTCCTAATAATCCTTTAGGTGAGTGTATATATAGTAGTATTATAAGTATAATAGTATATAAGTAGCCAACCGGCCAAAAGTTTGGACACTAAACTTTTAAGCATTTTTTAAAATCTAAAATACAGAAAAAAACAGTAATATTGTGAAATATTACTACAATTTGAAGTAATTGTTTTCTGTTATAATATACTCATAACCTTTAATACTTTTTTCAGGATTCTTAGTTAAAAAAAGAACAGCATCTATTTAAAATATAAATATTTTGTACCAATATACACTAGCCTTTCAAAAGTTTGGGGTCAGTAATTTTCTTTCTTTCTTTGTTTTAAAGAAATTAATACTTTTATTTAGCAAGGATGTGCTAAATTGATTTAAAAAAAGTGACAGTAAAGATTTAATGTTGTTCTATTTAACTTTTTATTCATCAATGAATCCTGAAAAAAGTAGGCCTATTTAAAAAAAAACATGAACCCTCTGGGGTCGGCGGTCTCGCTGGCGATACCAGCTCACTTTTTTCCTTATCAGTGCAAAAGAGACCAGAGTATGTGAGCGATGTGGAGCGGGAGCGGAGCGAGGAGTGGAGCGGTCTGATTTTGAATGGAGTGCCGAGCGGATTTTTTAAAAGTCGGAGCGTCGTGGTTTTCACTCGCTCCGAGAGCGCTCCACTACCGCTCCATCACGACTTGAGGACAATTCATGCCAACGGCTCATTATAGAACTGCATTTTTAGTAAGGATTCACACGTTAAACACATTACTCTAGCATGGTACAGAGATGGGTCACTCAAATCAGAAAAAAAATGTAAAAGGATATGATGACGCCGATGGACATGAGTGGCTGCGGGAGGTTATAGTTCTCAAGCCTACTGAATATGATCGGGCAACACTATCTCATGAAAGTGCGTATCTATAGCACACATTTTATTTTTTGTGCCATTTATACATAAAAAAAAAATTGCGTGCAAATGAAATGCACTAAACCCCTTGGTTATGATTAGGTGTGTGAAGTGCTTGCACACCATAAAGTGCGTATCATATGCACGCGAAAACGGCGTATCCTAGGCTATGCAAGCAAAAACAAGTTTTTGGCGTATAAATGGTACGAGAAATAAAATGTGTGACGCACTTTCATGAGATCGAGCTGGATCGGGTGAAAGCACATTTTAAACAGGTAACACTGATCACACACACAATCGCTTTCTCACGATTGCGTCTCAATGCATTGGATTCAAAAAATGTAATCTTACAGTGCTGTCGGTTTGATTTTGAACGAGCAGAAAACTGTAAGAAATGTAGTGACCCGTAGATAACTGATGAAAACGTTATTTTCTTCTTTCCAAACAAAATATGCTCTGCAAAAAGCAGCAATGATATTTAACTTATAATGCTGATAATGTAATAAGTCATAGGAAAAGTTCGCACACTATCCAATAAACCACATTGAAACTATT